ATATGTACATAGGCAGTGTCTCAGATGTCTGCCAAAGAGACATCAGCAATAATGGTGAAGAGAGTTTTGCTGGATGCAGGACCTCTGGCTTATGCTAAATTCAACTGATGTGTGTATGTGTGCTTTTTTTTTTTTTTTTTTCCTTAAACAGAGCCCAGTCCAGTTTTTGGCATCCAAGCTATAGATATCAGCACAGATTATGTGAATTTAACGTGGAAGAACAACGATTCAGCTGCTGATAATTATATCTATGTGATAGAGTTTTTCAAACATGGAACTTTCATTAATGAAACATTCCCAAAGAGAGAAGCTGTTATTAGAGGCTTAGAACCTGGTACATCTTACAACTTCACAGTATACCCGCTAGCATTGGATAAAAAGACACGCGGTTACTCAGATTCTACAAGTGTCTGTACAAGTATGTCATAAAAATTTATGCACATACCTTTTCTTCCTTGTCCTTTTTTTGCTCCTTCCCTGTACACCTATTTGTTTACGTGCTGTATATTTTCATCTTGCCTTTACATTTCTGGTATAATAGTTTGTCTTTGAAAACCTGTGAGGTCATTGGATTGACATATGAGAAACTGGCTCATTTTCCACTAAGCCTTCATTTCACATCTGCAGTTTGTGATGTGAACCCTCTCTTCTGCCTGCTCTGCAAACAGCACATTTCCTCTTAGTCTGTGCCCCCCACCCCCCAAATTTCCAGAACAGCCACTGTTTTCCCTCTGCCTTTGGTCGCTGTAAGAGGTGCAAATCATGGCCCAAGTCTGACATTCAAAATAAACCTGAGAAGAGAGATGGGGAAATAATGGCTTATTTCTTTCTTTAAATGCAGCATAAAGTGCTCAATTTTGTTTAACTACTATTTAGTGCAGCGTGGGTATCCTGAAGGGACTATGTTGAAAGCTGTTAGGCACCTAAAGATGTAGCTCAGGGATGCAAAACTCATCTGGGGGCAAGATGAGGGGCTTGGGCCTGTTCTGTGAACCAGATTGGGCCCACAGTCCTGCCTCAAGTGTTAGAACTAGCCGACAGGCCAGGCCAGAACAGGTGCCTCATGCAGCACGCATCTTGGACTGATGCCATGTGCTGCTTGCACTGAGCACCCCTTGTGCAGCATGCACTGGGCCCAGCCCATCTGCGGCATGTGTTGCATGTGGCGTCTGCACCGAATTGACCTTGTGAGTTGGCTTCAGCATATGGGGCCAGTCTGTGGGCCTGATTAAGACTGGCCTTGGATCCAGCATGCGGGACTGGTCCAGCACAGGTGCTGCATGCAGCATGTGCCCCCGACAGCGTGTAATGGTTCCAGCTCCTGCACCATGTGCAGCCTGTGCCAGACAGTTTCCGTGTGCTGTATACAGTGCATGAGGCCTGGGCCAGTGTGTGCTGCATGTGGTATGCCAGTCTGACACCCCACAGGCAGCTCTGCAGGTCAGATGATAGGGCTCTGTGAATCATCTTTGACACCCCTGATGTAGCTGAATGCCAAATAGGATTTTCACATGTACTATTGAAAGTCCTGTTAGGTGTCTATCTCCATCTTTATTAAGTTATACACACACAGACAAGTCCCTTTGTCATCTAGAGAGTGCTGAAGTGCAAAGACATTGTTCTAGTCCCTACAGTTGGCGAACTTGGCCAATTGTTATGGAAATTCCTTTGCCAGTTTTATACCAACAAGAAAGTCCCCCCAGCCCAAAAACCTATTTTCAAAGTATTTTATATTGTGTAGACTCTGCAAAGCTGCTAAAAGGAGAGCTGAGGATATGTGATGTTTCACAGACATTTTAAGAAGAGCTTCTGTCCCAATGATGTAAGTAGATTGCAGATAACCATACTGCTCCATCTTCTCCCTTTTTTGCAGATCCTGCACCACCGCGTGACTTTCAGTGTGAACAAGTGATTAAAAAGCCTGAATTAAAACTAAATTGGCTATGTCCTCTTGGCAATAATTCTGGCTTCCACATAAAGCTATCTAATGGCACATTGACCAATGAAAGTTCGGCTTCATCTTGTAAATCAGGACATGTAAATACAAGTATACAAAACTTAAATTATTATACCACATACTATATTAATATTACAACCCATTCATGTGGGAAATACAGCCTTCCAAAGCAAAGAACATGTGCTACAAGTATTACTGGTGAGTATGAAAGTTTGAGGTGGGGGTTGGGAGGAAGTATATGGGCCACAAAAAAAAAGAAGAGTTAAAGATTTATAAAATCATGGAATCATAGAAAAGTAGAGTTGGAAGGGACCTTTGGAGGACATCTAGTCCAACCCCTGTCAGCCAGAGATCCCAATCCAAGCCATCCTATACAAATCCATTGTCTGACTGATTAGTAAAAGTACACAATCAACCCTGATGCAACCACAAGAAATAATACCTTATCTTGCCACAGGTAAGGTCAGGAGACAATGGTAGCCAGTATCCAATGGTAGCCTGCTACAAGGGTATTGAAATACAGTCAAGATCCAAGGAAGAGGACTACGCTTCTTCCCGCCCACCCCGCCTCCCAACAGAAAGGAAAAAATCCCCACAGTCTGTACCAGTCTGAGACCACATCTGGAGTATTGTGTCTAGTCTTGGGCCCCCGACTACAGAAATGATGTAGACAAATTGAAGAGAGCTCAGTGGAAGGCAATGAAAATAGGGGCTGGTACACATGACTTCTGAGGAGAGGCTGAGGGAACTGGTCTTATTTAGTCTGGAGAAGGGAAGACTGAGAGGGATTTAATAGCAGCCTTCTACTACCTGGAGGGTGGGTTAAAAGAGGATGCAGCTAGACTGTTCTCCATGGGAGTAAGTGACAGAACAAGAAGCAATGGTCTCGAACATCAGCAAGGGAAGTTTAGGTTAGATATTAGGAGAAACTGTATCACTAGGAGGGTAGTAAAACACTGGAACGGATTACTCAGAGAGGCTATGGAATCTTCATCCTTGGAGATTTTTAAGACCTGGATGGATAAAGCCTTGGCTGGGATGATCTAGTTGGGGGTGGTCCCATTTTGAGCAGGGGGTTGGACCAGATGACCTCCTGAGGTCCCTTCTGACCCAAATTTTTTAAATATTTTGTGACTGTGAGGTAGAATTGTTTCCTGGCTCCAAATATTGCAGTCATATTTGGGGTCTGACCTTGAGTGGAGGGGCAAGACCCTCTAGCCAGGAACCTCTGGGTTTAAGTCTCAGCAAACGCATTGTCACATCCCAGTCAAAATCCCCAGCTGTGGCTGCTACCAACACCTAATATTTCTGAGGAAGGTGAAAAAAGCCTCTGACATGTAGCAACAGAAGGGGAAAATATTTCTTTCCAGCCTCATGTGGCAGCCAACAAATCCGAGAAGCATGGGAAATCCCTAAAAGAGAGGATAGGCACAATGAAGAACTTGCAGTGTTATACAGTGAATCTGAAAATTCAAGTTATGGGTAAAATGCTTTATTTCTCTAAAATCCCATGTGAGCCACAAATGAAAAGTGTATAGAGCCAGTGTATATATGAAGTGTATAGAACAGGAGCAGGCAATTATTTCAGGCAGAGGGCTGCTTACCGAGTTTTGGCAATCTGTTGAGGGCTGTATGAGTAGCCCTGCCCCCTGGCTGCTATCTTGGGACCAGAAGTCCCATGCCCTAACATCTGACCTTTGCCACCAGAAGTCCCTCCCCTTGCTCCTGGAACTACTCCTTAGGGGAGAAGAACCCAAAATATATACTAAAAATCAAACACCCATAATAATATATCTTCATTTAATTAAAAAAAAATTGTCCTGATTTGTGTGCATTTGTGCTGTATATGTAGAAGTGATTGCATAATAGCTCAAAATGCAGTCTTACTTGTATTTAGTGTTGGATGTGCAGAGTTGGTGGGGGAAGTATG